CTCATGTGACTATTTGGTTTTCTTTCATCTCAAAAGGAAATATCTGCTAAACTCTCACAGCAATTCAGACTTTAGCATAAAATCATTTTCCTGAGACAGGGACTCATGTAGACACGGGAACCCCAGGAGAGGGGAGGCAAGGCCACGCAGAGAGACCCAAGTCAGTTAAAGGTTAGGATTCATTTCCAAAGTTCCCCACCTGCCCCTCCTTGTCTCCAAGCAAGGTTTAGGCCACTTACCTCTTCTAGCTGGATCTCCCGCTCATAAACCAACTTTCGTACCATGCTGGCCACAGACACCATCCAAGTCAGCATCATTATCAGTGGAAAAAAGAAACCGACATGGTTCAGGAATCTGTTAGGGCACAAGGCAGTCAGTATCCAAGGGCAAGCAAATCGGCTCTCCTCCCAGTCACTTGTGGCAAGTACTGTACCTGCATATGTTTTTTACATCTTTCTTACAAGTTACAAAGCCCTTTCAGGAGCAATGTCTCATTTGTCCATTTTAATAGGCCTGTGACTTAAGCAGGAAAGCTGTCATTGATGTCTAGATTTTTCAGGTGTGCAAACCCATAAAGGAGATCCATGAAGGAGACACAATGGGTTCAAGGTTCCTCAGGTGGCTACAGCCCAACCCAAGTCCTCTCTGACACCTGCTGTAGGCAGAGCAGGTCGCAGGAAGGAAAAGTCATTGATCCATGGCTACACCTCCACCCACACTTAATTGAGACCTTTATCTTCAGTTAATCATATCTACAAAATATGTGAAAACTGGAAAATGAACATCTCCCTTTCGATTTCCCCAACACCCAATTTTCACCCCCCTCTAACTGGGCTCCACTTCTAACACACACTTGAAATGACTCTTATCGAGAACACCAAAAGCAATATCTCGAAATCCAGTGGGCATTTTTCAGTCGCTTTCCTTCTTGGCTTCTCAGCTGTGTGTGATAACATTGACCATCCCTCCTCTCTCTCTTCTTTCAGCTTCCAGAACAACTTGGATTTCCAACCCTCTGCTTGGCAAGTTCTCAGTCTCCTTCCCCAGCAACTTCTCCTTTAAGTATCCTTCGAATGTGCACATGCTAACCACAATCCTGGGCCCATCTCCTCGCCCGTACTCTTTGAGCTCTAAATACACGTACTAATTATTTTATTCATTACTGAGACCAACCAAGTGTGCAAGCCATATTATTGGGCCTGGGATACACGAATAAACCAAACAGAAACTGGTCCCACCATTCACAAGCCTCCATTCCAGTAGGAGGTGGGAGGGCATAAAATAAGCCAGTAAACAAACATAATGTCAGGTAGTGGTGAGTGCTGTGAGGGAAACAGAGGCAGCTTAAGCAGCAGGGAGAAGGGATACTATTTCAGACAGGGTGGTTAGGTGAGGTGACTATGGAAGGGATATCTGGGCAGAGAAGTGATGAAGTAAGGATTTGGGTCATGCAGGTGTCTGAAGGAAGACTGCTCTAGGCAAAGCAGCAGAAAGTGCAGGGGCTGGCATCGGAGCCTGCAGGACACGGGTCAGGAGCAGCAAAGGCCTTCATGGATCAGCAGGGGATGGGTCGGAGCCTTAGCTAGGGCTAAATCACACAAAAATTTTGTCTGTCAGGGTAAGTTTTGAATTTTAATTAATGAGCAAGGGGACACCATGAAGG